GGTTCGGTCCCCCCCCCACACTTAAATCATGTTCACATGGATAGGATACTAAATACATTTGCACACATCTTGTGTCCATATCTTTCTGTTTTGGTGGTCATGCCACAACCGTGCACGTACATGCATGCAAGAGTCATGGTGAGATATCTGGATTCAGAGGTTGCTGTTTCTTTGCACAGCATGAAAGAAAGGCGAAATGAATGGGCTGTGATTTTAGTATTTTTAAGCAGAGGTCAATAATTTGTACGGCCCTCGGAGGATGTTGAAAAAATTGAAATGGCCCTTGAGAGGAAAAAGGTTCCCCACCCCTGNGTGTGCCTTGGCAGTCTCAGGTATTTTAAGCAGAGGTCAATAATTTGTACGGCCCTCGGAGGATGTTGAAAAAATTGAAATGGCCCTTGAGAGGAAAAAGGTTCCCCACCCCTGGTTTATAGCATAACGTTAGCATTTTGCTTCTGGCGACTAGATTTATGATTCAAAAATTATAAAAGTAGGGTTGACATGTGGAGATTATCCGGCTGAACAAAACGTGATCCTTCTCTTAAATGTGTGTCAACCACAGACCTTATTTCGAGCTATTTTCCAAAATCCTATGGAGAATTTGCATTGGTTTTTGACGAAGGAACCGAAGAAGTTTACTTCCGGGCGTAGCCAAAACCGGAAGCTGCATACGCTATAACTTTTGTGCTCCGATTTTTACATAAAAATGGAATTATGGATTATAAACAATTGCTTCAAAGCCAGATACATTATTAACCTATTGATCAACCGATTCAGCCGCGTTTTTTCTCGTTTTAATGCCATTGAACACGTCTTTTGATCAGATTGACAGCTACGGTTAGACGATCTCCCATAAAAGCTCCGTAAAGGTACGTGTTGTGATGTCTGTGTTTGCTTCCCCTGTCGCGAGATCGGATCGCTTAGTGATGATACTATACTTAAATAATCTGTGGAGTCTCAGCTTTAATCGGATATATTGTATGTGCAGTTTCGATAAGTAATAAGGGTATCTTTATTTTGAATTCTGTGCTAAAGTGCGTTAGCATTTTTTTTTTAAATGAATAAAACCGCATGTCCCTGCGGTGTGAATATCGCTCATTCGCATATCGCGGTTATCGCCATGACACGGTATATCGTTCAGCCCTAATATGGACTGATTATCAGTCAGAGAATTGACCCTTTGATGCCACGTCCTGTGAAATGTTGCAAATAAAACAACCATTCAGCTCTAAAGTGGCTGCGTCCAAATTCATTGTATTTTAACTGAGACAAAGACAGCAGAGCCCCGTGGATCTGCCCAGTCAGCACTGGGTATGAGATGCATTTAGTTGTGTAGGTCAGCCGGGCCAAACATGGGGTGGTCACTTATTGTTATCTGTTTCCGCAGTCGTCAGTATGTGAGAAGATCATGGAGCTGCTGGGCCAGAACAAGATCGACCATCACCAGAGGCAGGTGGCCATCCTCAGCCAGGACAGCTTCTACAAGGTGCTGACCCCAGAGCAGAAGGCAAAGGCACTGAAGGGCCAGTTCAACTTCGATCACCCAGGTATGCCCACACTGGATATGGTGAAGCAGCTAATGCACTTCTCTAGAGTATATCACCTCCACCGGACCGCAGCATGCACATGTTTGCTCTCCTTATCACAGTTTGCAGTTGCCTCAAGTACTTTTTAAACAATTTGAGACCAGATACGGAAAGTGGGTTAAGTATTGACATTTTCAGACTTCTACCAAATTAGTTTCGTATGTAAATGCAATCATTTGTGCAATAAGTAACAGCTGAGGCTGTTTAAGCATAACGTTTTAAAAGAAAATGAGGCTACAGTGACATTTAATTGCTTATTCATACAAGCAATTGGGCTTGTGTTCAGCAGCATTTATTCTAGCGTTTTATTTGGCAGTTGCACTGACTCCATTTTTGGTGCCCAACTTTGCCCCCTCCCGCTCCTGCTTCCTTTCTCAGCTGGTTTTAAATCCCAACAGTCAGCAGGCCTTTCTCCGAGACAGCTGCTGTACGGCTCACAGACAGAACCCAACACCTGTTACAGGAAATGGATTCATTGCTTACTAAACATGCAGCGCGGGGTCGCACATGTCCATAGGCGCACACAAGGCCGGTTTAACTAGGACTAAGTAATATGACCATATGAACATCCAAGCTGATAGTTTGTCTTTTCTTTTTTCTCAGATGCCTTTGACAGTGAGCTCATAATGCAAACACTCAGGAAGATCCTGCAGGGGGAGACGGTCCAGATCCCATTGTATGACTTTGTTCATCATTCCAGGTAAGCACCTCACAGGAGATATACAAGAAATGGCTCCTGAATAACTGTGGTGTGTGTTGTATTTAAAACCCGGGAATTAGTTGGCCTTTAGCACTACTGACGTCCCTTGTTTTGAATTGAAATAAGGTCTGTGGCTAACAAAAGCTTAAATAAGACTACTAAAATGAATCACGCTGAACATTAGACACCTTTAGCTTAGTGTTGCTGACGTGAAGTCATGCAACCATCATGTTGTTTGTATATAGCCTTACGCTAGCTATTTACTTATGGCGATTGCATTAACGCTTCAATTATTATACCAGTGGGGTAAATATGTAACTTGAACGTGTAATCGGTTAAAATTGGCACCTGTCTAAGTGTAGTCGCTGACGGACATGAGGGAATCTCTTCCATGTTTGTATTGTTCCAGGAAAGAGGAGTTCATCACGGTGTACCCAGCTGATGTGGTGCTGTTCGAGGGCATCCTCATGTTCTACTCTCAGGAGATCAGAGATCTGTTCCAGATGAAGCTGTTTGTCGACACGGATCCAGACACACGGCTCTCTCGCAGAGGTGTGTAGTTTTGAGAAGAGCACCTGCTTCCTTTTCAGTTATTGCATTGAATGGCTTGTATTCATATTTGTGTGTGATATTCTCTGTTTCAGTTCTCCGAGACATCAGTGAGCGTGGCAGGGAGCTGGAGCAGGTGCTAGCTCAGTACATCACTTTTGTGAAACCGGCCTTTGAGGAGTTCTGTTTACCAGTAAGTGATGTGCCGGCCTTACAAGCGCCTTTAGTTTTTGAAGTAGAGCCTCACTGATACACTGGGATGCCAAACATTACTAACCAATATTAGCTTCACGTTTTATGTTGGTTTTAATGTATTTCATCCCATGTAAAACAAGAAATGACAGCACAGAAAAGCCAAAGATGTATTTGAGGTAATTAAGAAAATGTCAAAATACGTTGTTAGTCCACCGGGGAGCACTGATTGCTTAAATACATATAATTCAAGTGTCCCGATTCTTTACGAATTCTATCAAAAATGTTTGTATATATTTTGAGTAATTAATGAACAACTACTTGTTGATGAATAAATGACTCCCAAATGTCAGTCTTCCGTTGTGCAGTATACAACTGTTAAAAACATGTGTTTTCTCTTTCTCTATTTCTCACAGACAAAGAAGTATGCAGATGTCATTATTCCACGAGGAGCAGATAACCTTGGTATGGATTTGTATTCTACAGTACATAGACTGCCTTCTTGTTGATCAGGCTCCTATTGGTGGATAAGAAGATTTCCACAGATTTAGCACATCAAAGTCAGTTTACAACCGTGTAGAGTTAAATAAACATCAGTTGTGTTTAAAGACTACTTTAAAAATGATGGGGTAAATCTGGTGATTTGGAGGCTACATTAGCTGCTACAGAGTGGTGCAGGAATGAGTCCTTAAACCCGGAAATGAGTTGGCGATTTAGAACTTCCGACTTTCCTCATATCAAGGGAAAATTTACAATTTATTCTACAGCATAAAATACGTCAGAAAATACCTGACTCGAGAATGGCTGACGTTTTTACGCGTCTTCAAACGGGACTTGCTAACAAGTGTAGTGCAGTTTGTATATAGCCTTAAGCAAGCTATTTACTTATGGCGATTGCATTAACACTTCAATATCATAACCGTGGCATTAATATGTGCAGATTATCCTGCTGAACTGAACGTGCCAGTATTGTAATCGTGAGTTTTCAAGAGGCTTTAATTTCTGCTATATTTGGGGAAAACATTTAAAAAATCCCTCTTTGTGTCAAGGTAGCGATGCTTACTTCCAGGCCGCCCTACAAAAATACATCATCACTGCATTACCATAAATCCCAGGTCTCTGACCAAACTGTCAGCTAGTTGGTTGCATACTTATTTCTGCATCCATTTTGATATATTCTTTATAACTGTCCATTGTGATGAATCGGTTGAGGACATTTTCCAAGATTTCTAACCTTCTCTCTCTTCCTCATTCCCTGCAGTCGCCATCAACTTGATAGTACAGCACATCCAAGACATTATGAACGGCGGACCAAGCAAGCGCCACAACGGCTGCACGAACGGCCACGTTGCCCCCCGTCAGCGGAGGACCTCGGAGTCCAGCAGCCGGCCTCATTGACCTCGTGGCACCTCTCTCACGGGGCGGAGAGGGGTGTGGGAGCTGCCTGTAAATAATGCCTGTCGGCATCACTGTATTTAAGAGAGGAAAAAAAAGAAATGCAAAAAGAAATGAAATGCCTTTTATTATTATTATTATTATTATTATTATTATTATTATTATTATTATTATAATAATGACTACTCATGTTATTGGTTACCTTCATTGTAATTGTTGATCATTTTTTCAGGAGGTTTAAAACAAGTTGTGATGGGTTTAAATGACCTCATGCATTTTTCCTCCCAGGTTGCTTTTTGTTTTTTTATGTATCCCTGCTGCTCCATGGAGTTTCATGCCGCTAATGAATAAAAGAGGGGAACCCCTTTTTTTTTTTGTAATGACTGATAAAACTTGAAGCCGTAATGCCAGCGGGAGTCTGATAAATGTTTGGGTGTGTTCCAAACGATAAGGATTTGAAGAAGAGTTGAAGAAAACCAGGATTGCAATGTGTATTTGTACTGACAATCTATGGGTGTCTTTCAAACCCTTTTCTTCAGTGTTAAAGATGTGTTATTCAAGAGGTCTGTTTACTACAAAGTGTCCATCACTGACTACACACTACAGGATTTGTTTAGTACTGATTCTCATGTGTGGATTAATGTGACCACCAGACCAATGAAGCCTAAGGCTGGAAGGATCAGCTGACTACTGTATCAACCCAGTCTAGTGTTGCGGGTATTGTTACACTCTTAATTAAAATATTGATATATATCCCAATAAAAAGAAAGCAAACAAACACTTATTTTGAGAGTGAGATTAAATTAATTATTACAAAAATGTAGATATGTGAATTCCTCTATGAAGTCCCTATTTTTTTGCTGGTTTTTCTAGCTATCACATGGCCAAAAAAAAGCCCGCAAGATTATGATATGAAATATATACTCCGGTTAGGAATACCATCATGATATTAAAATGCCAGACAAAGGTGTTCGGTGCCACAGCTATATTAGTTTCCCCCAGTGTATGGCCATTAACCACCAAGACCTACCGCATTGCCTCAGGTTAATATGTACAGGAAGTATCCACAGTAGGGGCCAGTTTCCATTCTTTAAGTTAAAGATACAATAAATAAATAAAAACTGTTGAATCAATTTTGTATTCCATGTGCTGTATTTGTTGTGTATGGTGTAATTGAATGACTGATTTGTACCATGAGATTTGTACAGTATGGCTGTTGCATCGTCACGTTTTTTTTTTATGAATTGTGACAGATTGCTTGGTGTTCAATAAACTGATGCAGCCGAATTTCCTTGTCTGAAACGTGGGATTATTTTGTATCAGATGCGTGTGAACGCATCACTGGTGTACATGCGAACAAAGGAACATTCTTATTGAAATCATATTGAAATACGGTATGTTGCAATCGACAGCAATAAGTAAGTAATTGAGCGTCAGTGTCCACTAGAGGGCGCAATATGCTAATAGAGTAAAGGTCCCTTTAAGTGCTGACGGATATGTGAGGATTTGGATGTTGGTTATCGTCCATATACAGTCTAATGTTATCGTCTCATATAACTAAAAACAACCAGAAAACAATACCCGACAAGCTAGACTTAGCAAAAACTGATGGTTGACGTACTGTATGTGGTATTAAATTACAAATAAGTTATTCTAATAAAAATAAATAAATTGCACGTAATGTAAGAACGGTGAACGTTTTCTATATTCTTTTTCAACGCTATGCTACTCAACTTCTAGAACAAAACAGCCGTCGACACGTTACTATTTTCACTCACTACTTTGTCATGTATTCATCCCAAAAGCCAACACCATCAAAAAATAAACTCGTTCCTTTTTTACTCAGAAGCCAGAATTTACGAGGGGTACCTGAAGACGGCAGTAGGGGAGATCCAAGATGGTGGTATGTGTCACCGTAGCATGCTTCAGATTTAAACAATTAAACAATTGAGCTAATATTGGTGAATTTCAAACTATTTGTCTCTCATTACAGAAATTTGGACTCCAGTTCAAAGCCACTTTGGAGAATGTCACCAATGTGAAACCATTGTGCGACGACTTCCGGTGGTTTCTAAAGGTAGGATGGCTATCAAGCTAGCATGCTACTTCACTTAAGACTTTAGTATAGTATTATTAACCTTCTATGGCATGACTTTTTATTTTGGGAGGAAAAAATGTTTCACCATGTGTTTTAGGAGCTTAGGGGTCCCTGATATTATATCAATTATAAAATGTGACCCCCCCACACCCCTCAACCAGGGGTTGGTTTGTTGCCTCAGGGCAACAATGTGCTACGAGGTTATTGAAACACCAAGGATTTCTACAATTCAGAAGAAATAGAAAAAACAACTCTGTATGAATTCAAAAGGGTGTGTGTGTGTGTGTGTGTGTGTGTGTGTGTGTGTGTGTGTGTGTGTGTGTGTGTGTGTGTGTGTGTGTGTGTGTGTGTGTGTGTGTGTGTGTGTGTGTGTGTGTGTGTGTGTGTGTGTGCGCGCGCCTAACCCAATCTTGACCTTCAGCTTCACTGTCCTCACTGTCAGACGGAATAGCCCTAACAGCCTGATCATGTCCCTTCTGCCCATAACATGTTTTAGTGTCCATTTCCTGTAAATATCAGTAGATGGTAAAGTAAAAACATTGATTAGGTTTATCATTTTACATCCGAGCACACTTGTATGATATTGCCTGGAAAAAAGTGGTCAAGTGGCTCAGTGTTGCCCTGAGGCAACGAACAAAAAAACATAGTTTTAGCTAATTAATAAATACATAATAAGATTTTAGTATATTTAAAAAATCAAATATACTTCTTTACATATTCATGCACATACATGTATTTCTTATTTTAAGTTGTCTACATTTCTAATATGTTAAGTGAAATGTATCTTACCAAGTGGTGGCCCTGAGTCCCCTGCAGCTTTGCTTGCAGAAAGGACTGCTCCACCCCCAGACAAAATGCCACACCCATATAATTCCCTCATTTTATTGAACACCAGCATGTCAGGTGACATTGTGTATTTTAAAAAAAATAAAAATATTTGGAGGGCCAGTGTGAGGTTGAAAAAAGTGGTTTGTTGCCTGAGGGCAGTATGCCATAGAGGGTTAAGTATTTTATTTTCCTCTCTGTTTTCGCGAATGTTGTACACTTTATCCTGCTTTTTGTAAACGCATTGAATTTTTACCCTACGTGACAACTAAATATGGGAATGCATTTACATGGCAAATGTTTATTTAGTTTTGTTGTCACTATTCACTACTAACCAGTACAGTATGTGTTACAGCTGAAGTGTGGAAACTGCGGAGAGATCCCAGATAAATGGCAGTATATAACCCAAGTGGTAAGTATATTTGTTAACCTTTAGTGTGGCAAACTTTTCACACATATTCAACCTGTTTTTTTTGTTATTCCTCAGGAGAGTGTGCCACTAAAAGGAGGAAGAGGCAGTGCCAGTATGGTGCAGAAATGTAAACTCTGTTCCAGGGAAAATTCAATTGGTATGAAAAACTCACACCCCATGTGACATATCTTTTTTCTGACGTAAAATCTCTGGTGGAAGTATAACTTGTAAACTGTTTCCTTTCCTTACAGATATCCTTGGAGATACAATCACACCATATAATGTAAGCAAACATCTCATGCTTTTACTTTGAAAAAACTCCCAAAATACACTATAGGTCCGACTTTAGAACATTGCTTTTATGGAGAGTTCACTTGATAATTTTCAGTGCGATTGTCTTTTATTTAGCATGAATACCTATTTAGGGAGACACTTCGGGTATAAATACACAATGCAACAGCAGGATTATGGCAGTTATTAGACGTCTTAGCGGGAACATTCTCAAATAAAAAAATCTGTAAAAAGGCAGAAGGATTACAAGCAAACCCTGTTTCCATGTTCCTATGGGTACCTGCCTTCTGTTTTAAGACAAGCTACATTTTGAACCAATCCCTTTTTTTCTGTAAGTTTTGTAACCTTTTGTTTTCATTTCTGCAGTTCTTAAAGTAAAGTCACTCCTTAAGATCATATCATTACTCTATTCACATGCAGGACATTTGTCACATACATTGGTGAGTGCTTTTTCTTTCAGCTGTGTGGTTTTCTTCTTTTGTTTGCTGGGCTAAAGGAAGAAAACAGTGAAAGATTCAAGACGATGGTGCAGTTTGAATGTCGAGGTCTGGAGCCCATTGACTTCCAACCTCAAGTAAGACACATTTTCACAGAAGAAAACAAGCACAGATTACCAATAAGATAAAAGGGATAGTTCAGATCTTTTGAGGTTTGGTGGTATAATGTCCCCGTACATAACCAGTTATAGTATGGAAGCCAAGCGACATACTGCTGTTGACAGAAGCAGCAGCAAAAAATAAACAACTAAAAGGAAGGGTCACCTAAAAAAATATCAATACGAGTTTAAATGTACGCTATATTTAAATGTTTTAGATTGCTTTCACTTGCATCCATTAGTTGTTTATTTCTGTAATTATGCTACTTTTAGATTCAACAAAGTCACAGACACAAACTCACTGATTGAAGCAGCGGTAGACCAGGTTCCCTTGTGTTATGCAAGGTCAAATGACTGTTTTTGTCAATGGAGTCGGTGGATTTGGCGAAACCTTAGATGGAAATAATGGTTTGAGTTCCCCATTGGAAAGGGATATCTGACAGCAAGGTAAAGGGGTAGCACACTTCAACCGCCTTGATCCACAGCAGTATAACTCCAGTCTTTTTCTATTTACAGAGGAAGTCCTGACTGCTATGTATTGTAGGAAATACATTGACTATGATAAGTAACCCCACTTCAAAACATCTGGACTATCCCTTCAATAAAGTTACATTCAAGTGTCCATGACAGTGAGTTAGCATACACAATGTCAGGACCCCAAAACTCCATCATTGTTTGCTTATTGACACCTGTTTAATTGGCCCTGGTAATATGCAATATGCAACCTAAATTGGTTGAAATGGAATAATGTTATTAGATACTCATTCATGCTCTCTGCTATGTCAACATATTTGCTTTGGGAAAGAAAAGGATATGTTTCCAGAGTCAGAGAGTTTACTTAGGCAAGGCAAGGCAAGTTTATTTATATAGCACCTTTCAACACAAGGCAATTCAAAGTGCTTTACAAAGATTGAAAGACATTCAGAAAATGGCATTTAAAAACAGTCATGTTAAGGTCACAAAATCCATGAACTGAACTAATGTCATGTGACTCAATTCTTGATTTCCATGAAACCCACTCCAGGCTGGCTTCGCAGCACAGGGGGCAGAGTCTGGAACAACGTTTCTGGAAGTCAACCTGCTAGAAAAAGTAAGTGCAGAGGGAACAACGCGTTCCTCAGTGATTGTCGATTTTGTTTATTCTAAGAGAATATTAGTCTTAAAACTACATTTTAACCACGGCACTGCATTGATGGATATCTTTCAGTACTTATTTAGTTACTGAGTCTTTCATGTATTTCCACTCCTGCTTCTGTCTGAAAATTACTTTTAATATTGCCAACTGTATTTACAGATTGTGAAGGCCTCTTTCATCCCTGCTACTTTTAAAATACTTCTGTGAATTTCAGGACTGGACAGACTATGATGAGAGAGTCAACGAGTCGGTGGGAATATATGAAGTCACACATCAGTTCATCAAGTGTTGATGTCATCATGCGCGAAGCCTCAGAGGGGGAGTTTGAACACTACAGCCAAATATCCCCAGGCCAATTGCTAGCATCAAGGATGCTTCATATGCTGAGGTTGGATTGATGATGAACATTAAAGGCTGTGGAATGATACCACAGCGTGTCCATACACATTTTGGATTAATCAATGTTTTTTTTCACTGCCTCAGTAAAAATGAAAGGTGTACATTTTGAGTTAAGCTTTTTCTTTGCAAATGTGAGTGTCACGTTTAAATATCAGTAGGTGTATTAAACCAATACCAATATACAAGACACAAAAAAAGCCCAGAACATCATAAAAAGGCTGTAGAAACTGAAATGTCTTTAAATGAAGACTGATCAAAATGATTGATTTACATCCCAAGTTGTGAAAATGCACGACTTGAGCTGATAAAAAAGAACAGAAAATGATTGTTAACCTGCGCCTGATCTACCTGACGGACAGACCCCAGGCTGTGCAGGGTGGGAAACATCACATCCTCCACCCTGATCCTCAATACTGGAGCCCCTCGGCCTGGTACGGCAGCTGCACCGCCCTCAATCGTAAGGCTTTACAGAGGGTGGTGAAAACTGCACAGCACATCACCAGGACGGAGCTGCCATCCATGGAGGACCTTTACTCCCAGCGGCTCAGGATGAAAGCCCTCAGGATTACAAAGACCCCCATCACCCCAGCCACAAACTGTTCAGCCTGCTGCCGTCTGGCAGGCGGTACCGCAGCATCGGGTCTAAAACCACCAGATCCAGAGACAGCTTCATCCCACAGGCCATACAACTATATAACACCTGAGGTTGCACTATTTGTATTTTATTTGTTTGTTATATGTTTTTTATATATTTGTTTTTATTTCTTGTAAATTGCACTGTTGAGGAACATGCGATCTAAGTTGTTCATGGATTACATAACTACACCGTAGTTGTGTACATAATTTATATGGCAATACAACTTTGAATCTTGAAAAAACCAAGGAGAAGAAATGAAAGAGCTCTCACTCTGTCAGTATTTCATGGTACCGTGAGCTGTCCAGAAATGTTAATCAACGTAAAGTGGCTGGGAAAGGATTGTAACAAAGCAGATCCCATTCTCCTTTATGTGATTTGGCAAAATAAAAAAAAGTTGGGACAATTAAAACTCAAACTGTATTTCAAGAAACACTTCCAGCAGCCATCATGCGAGAGACTGAAGATACAAACTCAGAATAGTATGGCTTAGTTATTTGTACAAATGTACCTGCAGGTTTGTTGCTATTCTAAGTACCCAAGTAAGTATCAATTAAGCTTAACCTTTTAGGTAGTCCAACTTTTTTTGTTGTTGTTGCCTACCATACTATACCATATCGTAGGATACATTACATGTTACTTGTTAGACGCTTTTATCCAAAGCGACTTACATACTCAATACTGTGGGCAATCCCCACAGGAGCAATTTGGGGTGAAGTACCTCAGGGACACAATGACATGCTGACTGCAGTGGGGTTTGAAAACCTGTGACCCCCTGATCCCAACACCAAGGCTCTATCCACTGCGCCACACCCCTCAAAATTATACGGATACAATATGCCTTACTGTTTTAAAGCAAAATCATGTAGCCTGGCATAATAATATGTTTAAGTGACTATGGAATAAATAAGGGTTGTTAAGTAAATCATGTATATCTCTAGTAATCTTATCCTGCATCAGTTTGTGGAAATGTAAAAATATTTTTGTATTTAGTATAGCTAAATATTCCTACCGAGTGAAGCATCATCTTGCGTACAGAGGATCTTTGCTCTACAGTTGAATCAGTTGTATTATGTCAGTGCTAATGTTGTGTGCTGTCCACAGACCTCTCTGTCTGTGTGTGGACAAGGTGTAGACTAGCTGTCGAAATAAAGCAACTATGGCACAACGAGGCAATAACAGGGTGTTTGTCATCGGTGTGGGCATGACGAAGGTAATATTATTTAACATTTATGCTGTCCTACTTCGCAAGACAACACGTAGGACCCTAGTGAAGACTTGAGGCTAGCATTGTGGGCTGACAACAGTTTTCTGTGCATTAAACGCCTGTTTTGTTGAAATTACCCTGCAGGCCATAGTGTAATGAACTGTTTATAAGTGTCAATAAAGTACAAAGCAGCTAGCTATGTTAGCTTCAACATATAATAAACTCTGTATCTTATGCCTAGACTGTGAGTCCATAGTTCATGGCCAACAGAGTGACAAACTGTGCTAAGGGTCATCGCTGCTGCAGGCTGCTAACATGAGGAGCTGCTCCCCCAGAGCTTTAGCTGCTCAAAGCAGAGATGGGAGAAGTACTCAGATTAAGTAAAATTAGAAATACTACAGTGTACAAATACTCTGTTACAATTAAAAGTAATGCACTTCAAATTGTACTAGTTGAAGGTAAAAAATAAAGGCATCAAAACCTACTCAAATATTTTATTTTATTTATTTTTTATAAACTTTATTAATCATTTAAGTCCTTTACAAACCTTTAAGGCACTTATGTTCAGTCAATACCATTGAAAGGTGCAAATACAGTATAGATAAAATAAAAATTAATAGTTGACATCTTACAAAAATTAAAATTACAAAAACTAGTAGACTAAAAACTAGATTAGTAAAATAATCCAAATGAAGAAAAACTGTTCACAACCATGGATAAAATTTGTGGCAGTAATTTACAAAAGAAAGTGACATAAATAACACATTACGGTGTTGAGACATTATGATTGGGGATTTTTTTTAACTTATTTGTACGTAACGCAACCTATTTGAAATGATTGGATTATCTTAGTTATAGTTATTATGTTTATCACAATGACACAACTTGTGTGTTATGAAACGTTTTTAATGAAGAATTTTCAAAGTGATGCTTCAATTGGTAAAATGCTGTCATTACATACAAATCTGATGCCCCTGTCTCTCTAAAGTGAATACAAACAATATTTATCTTATTTGTTTGCAACTGCTTGATGAGATAAATATTTGTTTAGTAGTATTATTTCTTTATATTGATTATAATTTAAAATATATGCACAAATACATCTTTACAAACAAGTATTATAAGATGAAATTGAATTACAAATAATTGTTGTCCTTGATTTCAAAGTGATATGACAATTAGCAGTAAAGATGTTGGAACAAGATCATATTTGTCAACAAAATCGTTCTTTTTTCTTTTTCTGTCAATCGATTTATTGTTTCATCTTGAAAAGCAAATCATAATGGCCTTAAAAGTAAAGCTTAATCCCATTGACTGTCTGAGGTTTAGTCTGATCTAATGGTTAGCTGACAATACAGTTAAATGTTTGCCAATGAAGAAGAATGTTTTTCTTTAATGAAGAACAGGAAAATATGTGATTGCTAATGTTGATTAACATTTAGCGTTTGTCATACTTTTCTGTGTTTTGCTGCAGTTTGACAAGCCTGGAGCCCGTGGCGACTTTGATTACCCGGACATGGCTAAAGAAGCAGGTGCTAATCTTCAGAATATGGACCTTGTTCAGCCCATCGAAAGATAACATTTCTGGATATCTGTGAAATGTATCTTGTTGCTTAACATGGGACAAAGTGTTTTTACAACTGTATGTCCACATCCTGTTCCAGGTCAAAAGGCTCTAGCAGATGCAGGAGTCCCATATTCTGCCATTGAACAGGCCTGTGTAGGATACGTCTATGGTAAAAAAAAAAAATCTGCACGTCGTTCAACCCTGGTTAAAAACAAATATTATGATATACAAATATTGTACTATATTTTAATTTAATTTCTTACAATTTATTTGTATTTCTTCTTGCACAATTTTTTATTTGCTTTTATTTCTTCGGTTTATTGTATGCAGTATCGTTTGGAGGAGCCTGGGTCTTAAGATTTCTGTTGCCGAAATACACTGTAGCCAATGAGAATGTGACAAATGAACGTTTTAATCTTTAACCACAAGGGAAGGTGTTTCTGGTCCTGGAAGAAAAACAATGGGTTTGTCATGATCTAATTACATATCTTGCCTCCTTCATTCCCTCAGGGGACTCCACCTGTGGGCAGAGGGCCATTTACCACAGCCTGGGCCTCACCGGGATCCCCATCATCAACGTGAACAATAACTGCTCCACCGGCTCCACCGCCCTCTACATGGCCCGCCAGCTCGTCCGGGGGGGTGAGTCTAAAATAAAAAGGGAAAAACCTCCCAAATTCTATGGCTGTAAGAGCTCAAGGTTGGGTTTATTGGTTTCTAATAATAACACATTTTCACAACAGAAAAAAGAAATGAGAGACAATACATTAAGGAGGCCCTATTATGCTTTTTGAGGTTCTCCCTTTCCTGTAGTGTATTATAGGTTTTTGTGCATGTAAATGGTGTGCAAAGGCTAAAATCCAAAACAAACTGCCCCCCTGCCTGAAACACCTCCATTGGACTTAACTTTACTTTGGTAATATAGTGACATAACATTGTAACACTCACGCTTCTATTGGCAGGCGCTAAAACACATTGTACGTGAAAGGCTAAGGGGCGGGACATCTTTAAGTGGTTGACCAATCACAACAGAGCCAGCTAACCATTCGGAGCAGACTGGGCTCTGGTTTCAGACAGAGGGTGAAAAGAGGGGCTGCAGCACAGGCAGTACGAGAAAAAATAAAGAACTTTTTGAACATAAAAGCATGGAGACATGTCACAGTAGAGACACTACATACTAATATGAACCGGAAAATGAGCATAATAGGGCCCCTTTAATTCCGTCATCTATTATTTAAGTGAAGCTGTAAAATCCTCTCTTTAAGCACTTCTCATCTCCTGTTGCAGGTCTTGCTGACTGTGCTCTGGCCCTCGGGTTTGAGAAGATGGAAAGGGGCTCTTTGTCTTCTAAGGTATGAAACTAAATGTGTTTGTTGATGGTCTGACTTGCTAAAATGACGGAATATCAGTGTGGGTTACACTTGTCCTGAGAGGGACAATGATAAACATTCAAAAGCAGATCACTGCAGACACAACAGTGTAGTGTGGCTGCATCCCAGAAATAAAGATTAATGAACTTCTACCTTCTTTTATGAGGTTCCATTAACTGCTTCTTACTAATGATTTAATTACAACTACAATGGAGAAGAAGGGGTAGATTTAATAAAAAGTCAAAGCTTTTTTTAAAGCAAATATCTAAAACAAAATGGCTGAACAGTTGGTCGATAAATCAATTTATTTTATGTCACATGCCAGTACAGCCAGATGTTTATGGTGTATGGTTTTTTGACACAATTGTGTTTCAGGTAGCTCAAGATTTTGGTTCCCCCCGGTTGTTTGAGTCTCAATAGAAACTAGCCTTAATAAACCCTAATTTCCCCCTTTAAGATGTCTTTTTTACGGCGTGTAAAATGTACCTCTTTTCTAGTTTATGGACAGGACCAATCCCATGGACAAGCACATGGAGGTGATGATCAACCGCTACGGGATGGTGGCCGCTCCAGGAGCACCGCAGATGTTCGGAAACGCTGGCAGAGAGCACATGGAGAAATACGGTACATGCTACGTGTGTGTTAGATAAAGAGTGAGCTGACAGGGTGTTACAAGTACAAGTGTTGGATTGTTGCATGTTGCATCATGGTTGTTATTTTCCTTTATCATATAGAGTTCAAGGTCCCATGTCATGCTTTTCTGGTTATTACCTGTCCCCTTGTGTGTTATGAAGGTTTTTCTGCACGTAAACGGTCTGCAGGGTCACAAACCCTCAAAGTACACCCTGTAGCGAGTAAAACTCTAACACAGAAAATACCTGTCTATGCTGCCCCAGAACGCCTCGTTGGAGATTTCTCTTTTTCTTCCTGGGTACTTCCTCAAACACACACACTCAATTTTTTCTCAGCTGCAGCTCCGCCGATTTCTCCTCCCTGAGACGGCGGGACGCGGCGAGGCTGTGAGTCTGTGTGTGAGCACACACACAAACTCCCAGCCAGGCTGCGGGTGTGTGCGTGTATTCGGGCTGATTTC